TGACCGGTGGTTGGCCAGTCTTTAACCTGCAGTGACAGTGTTTGATCTTAGTCTTTGTTGTGGGTTTGTCGCTTAGTGCCACAGCTAGTACTTACGATTTGTTGTACTTTTCCAGAGCATAAACGGTCACGGCTGCATCAAGGTTACATAGCGCCAGTGTGTGCCAGGCGGGGGGGGCATGATGTCCTCAGGAACGTCCTCTTTTTTTAATGTTCACATATGGCAACCCTAACTAAGAATATCCCCAAAATCTCATTAAAAGTATGAAATAACAACAAGTGCATGTACTGTACTGTACCGTACTGTACTGTACTGTGTACAAAATTACGAATAAAATTGTAATTAAATGTGACAGGCAGTACGTTGCTTTTAGTTTAATTAAGACTAGTGGATCACTCACGCTATAACATTCATAGGTCATTAATCACTAATACAGAAAATCACTCTTTTCTTGCTGTAGCTTTATATATATATATATATATATATATATATATATATATATATATATATATATATATATATATATATATATATATATATATATATATATATATTAGTTTATTTAAATCAGTCGTATTCCCAGCTCATAGTAAGGTAGGTTCTGCCATTTCTTTCCCACCCATTAACCATGAGACTCCTGAACCTGTGATTCCGAGACGTTACACAGTGCACCATCTATGGGCCCAACAAGTGTGATGTCTCGGATTTACTTGTTCATGAGTCAATTCAATTCAATTTCAATTGTTTATTCCTTGATAGAGGAAGCGGGATCCTAGTGCTGTCACTAGGTACCCCTTTACAATAACACCAGAAGCATCTGGCAAGTGTGACAAGCATATACAGTATAATTATTATAAAGGGGCTTACTAAAGCCTAAGGAAGGAAGGAAGGATATTCCTTTAACACATAATCAATGTTATTTACATAATATCTGGCCAGTATGGGGAGGACCATCGTGTCTCCGTCAGGGGGTCGTGGAGTGGTGGTCCAGCAGGCGTCACGGAAGCGTTGTGTGTGGGGTTCATGAGTCTTGGGGGGGAGTAACACATTGTGGAGCAGCACTGAAGTATGATTGTGGTGTGACAATGTTGGTGGGGACAGCAAGTCATAAATTGGGTCGTGGCTGTCAGACTGCTGGAGTTGATTCCCACCATCTGGAGACATCAGAATATGACTCTGATCCTTCCTTGTGTGTCGCCCGCGTAGCTCTTGTTGATGTCATCTTGAAACTGTTTTACTTGTGATATATCTTAAAATTTATCAGTCTTGAACACATGTGTTGACTGTTTGACTCGGAACATGTGGCTTTTGTGGATATACAGTATTGTGTGTGTGAGTGGGGGGGGGTCACCTGACTAGTGTTTATATGCGAGTCATCCTTGGCTCTAAGAATATGGAAATGGCATTCTTGGAGATGCAAATTATCCCGTTTTTATTTTGTGTTGCTATAATTAGAATATGGGTTATAACTTCCTTTTGATATTATTTAGGGAGATCTCCATTGACTCTTAGTTCAAATGCACTTTTACCTTTCTCTTAAGTACAATATATATATATATATATATGACAAGACTTCTTCCGAAATCCTTGGGGCCAGACGTGTTTCGGATTTCAGAATGGTTATGTTAGTGGGTTTTTTTATTTATTTATTTATTTATTTTTTATTATACAGGGGTCAGCCCACCCGGGCACAGGTCACCGACCCACATTGGGGCTTGGGGGGGCGAAAATGTAATAATAATAATAATAATAATAATAATTCATAGGTCTAGGTCGTGTTTCTCACTTTTGATCTTGTTTCGATTCTTGTATTTCTTTATTATTATTATTATTATTATTATTATTATTATTATTATTATTATTATTATTATTATTATTATTATTATTATTATTATTATTATTATTATTATTATTATTATTTTATTATTATTATTATTATTATTATTATTATTATTATTATTATTATTATTATTATTATTATTATTATTATTATTATTATTATTATTATTATTATTATTATTATTATTATTTTTTTTTTTTTTTTTACTATTATTATTATTATTATTATTATTATTATTATTATTATTATTATTATTATTATTTTTATTATTATTATTATTATTATTATTATATTATTTATTATTTTTTATTATTATTATTATTATTATTTTATTATTATTATTTTATTATTATTATTATTATTTAACACATTATTATTACACACACACACACACACACATTTTTTTATTTTTTTTATTTTTTATTACACACACACACACACACACACACACACACACACACACACACATTTTCACACACACACACACACACATTATTATTGTTATTATTTTTACACACACACACACATTCCACACATTTCACACACACACACACATTTTACATTATTGTTATTATTGTATTATTTTATTTTTGTGTATTGTTTATTATAAATTTTATTTACTATGAATTATTACTATTATTATTAGTACATTTTCGCCCCAGGAGTAGGAGGGGGTAGAGTTGAACTGTCTAAGGTGGAGTTAGAGGAGAATAAGGTGCCTAAGAGATTGTCTTTATCAGGGGAGAGTTGTCAGGTCGGGACAAGAGGGAGTGCAGAAGTTATTACAGTTGTTTTGGTTAAGGACCAGGAAGAGTTAGTCAAGTCAGCGGTCTTTTTTTTTTTTTAATTCCGCTTGACCCTACGAATAATAGCCTTACAATGATTCCTAGAAATAATGATTTTATATAAATATGATTGTGACCAGAAGACCCTAAGGGGGCGGAAATTGAGTATGACTAGTGTGAGGGGTTAGAGTTAAAACAAAGATCAAGAATGTTAGTAAGTTGATCATGTCGATCAGGAACATGTGTAGGGTGTTTGATTATTTGTTCCAGGTCATTAAGTAGGTAAAAAGAGAGTGCCTCAGCTCCACCTGGGTCATCCCTTGCAGAGCCAAGCCACTCTCTGTGATGCGGTCCGACTAATTACCCAAATGTAGCCAAATATAGCCGGAATGAAGTCAAATAATGGTCCTAGATGAATAAATCGGACTGCCAATCACTTCTCGACTAGTATTTGGTGTCACAAAGTCACAAAAAATTGGAAAACTTAGTTTAATCTGAGTTAATAGATCGCGTGCATGTACTGACGGAGCGAGGAATTACACAAATGTAGCCACAATGAAGTCAAATGATGGTCGTAGAAGCGTAATTCAGGCTGTGAATCACTTCTCGATTATTATATGGTGTCATAAAGTAAAAAAAAATTGGTAAACTTAATTTAATCTGAGTTGTGTTGGGTTAGGTTAGATTAGATTAGGTTAGGTACATGCACTTGATCTATTAACTCAGATTAAATTAAGTTTACCAATTTTTTGTGACTCTGACACCAAATACTAGTCGAGAAGTGATTAGCAGTCCGATTTATTCATCTAGGACCATTGTTTGACTTCATTCCGGCCATATTTGGCTACATTTGGGTAATTAGTCGGACCCTCTGTGATGTACATTGAAATCCCCTCGGTAGAGGATCTCGGTGTTGGGTGTGTGGATAGCAACGACTCATGGCAAGAAGTGAGATAGTTAGAGAGTTCCAAACAGTTGATAGAGTTGGGAAACAGTATAGGAAATAAAGAAGAATAGTCACAGGTGGTAGAGATATTTTGAGCCAGATGACATCATAAAGAGAAGATTCAAGATCCGTGAGTTGAGCTGTAGGTGTACGTGTGTTGCAGTAGGGGCATACACCTCCCTTAGAGCGGAAAGAGGTATAAAGGTTGTAGTTGGAAACTTGGAAAGGTTTGGGTGAAGCTGCTTTGGTCAGTTGAAGTTCATTATTATGATGGTGCCGCACAGAAGAAAATTAGATCTCGGGCCACGAATGCTGGAAAAAATGAAGAGTAAAAAAAAGCTGATCCTCCAACAACCGCAGCGACGCCAGTTAAGGCCCCGGTAGTTTGATGATGATCAAGTGTGCCCTGGGGTACACAACCTTCCTGACCAATGGGACCCATCCGAATGAAACGGGCTGGAAAATATTACAATTTGTGGAAAAAACGGCGGAAACTGAGAAAGTTGACGGAAAAGTAATCGTGTGATGCCACATTAATGACGGAGAACTTTAAAACACATCATAGCAAAATTCCAATTGTCACTTGAAGTACTGTGACAAAATAAGCATGAGTGTCAGCGATCATTAATGACATGATGCTGTTAACACTGACACAACGCTGTATGTATTGACATTTTGATTTACCTTTTAAGTCCAAACACCAAGTGTGGTGCACAAGTAAATTTTACCATTCTGTATTAGAGGTACAGTGGGGTATGCTATAACGAACGGATCCTACTACGAATATTCCTATAACGAACGGTTTTACCTATAAAATTGAGAATGCTATAACGAACGAAACTCCTACAACGAACATTATTTAAAATTTTTATTTTTTTTTAATAATTTATTGTTTTTTATTACAAGTATTAATGATATTCTTTATTTCAGGGGTTTAGATGCATATTTATGCACTTTTTTACAATTTTATTATATTTTTCAGTGTTAAGTGGTTGTATTTGGGGGCCTGGAACGGATTAATCCTATAACGAACGAATGCTATAACGAACAAGGTTCTAGAACCAATTAGATTCGTTATAGCATACCCCACTGTACTGTGTCAGGATAGTCCATTGATCATTTTGTCGTCACTTAACACTACTATAGTACAGTACGTACTTGAGACTGTCTTTCAAGGTTATTATATTCATTAGTTGACTGTTGCTGTATGAATAAACATTTCTGACTGAAATACCATCTAAGATATTCCAAAATATTTACCCGAACATTACATAAAAGTTCCCGTAACAAGCCATCATATGTAGCTTACCTTGATAAATATTCATGACACTTAGCAGCTGCAACTGTGAAAGACCACATAACCATTATGTGTATTAATGTTGATCTAACACATGATGACCATTGTCTAATGTGTTTGTGTGACCCACAGGGGGTTGGAGTATTGCCTGGCAATGGAGAACATGAATCTGTCTGCCATTCGTACCATCAGAGTCTTGAGGCCGCTCAGGGCCATCAACAGGATCCCTAGTAAGTAAAAGAATGATGATTCAATAAATGTTATTAGTTTAAGGATAAACCTATTATAAACTGCTTTAATATGAATATTTGTTGAGTAGTGATTATAGTTCAATTTATTGGTAGGTAAGGTTATAATCTTTTTTTTTAATTATTATTTTACCCCACATTTTCCCTCAGCATCAAAGCCCTGCCAACTTTGAACAAGTATAAACACTCTGTACAGTGCATTATTCCTGTTCAGCCACCTACTTAAGTTGTGATGATACGGGTAAAGAAAAGATTTTGTCAACAGGTATGAGAATTCTGGTGATGCTGCTGCTGGACACTCTACCTATGCTAGGGAATGTCCTCCTCCTCTGCTTTTTCGTCTTCTTTATCTTTGGCATCGTGGGCGTGCAACTGTGGGCAGGGATGCTTCGTCAGCGGTGCTTCATAGATCTGCCTAAGAACGTCACTGCTGTTTCGGGGTGAGTTACTTCTCACATTCATGCTACAGTTACATCGTGTATGTGAATTGTTTGTGGAGCTGAAGGGCACTAAGGCTGGCACTTGTTGGTTTTTGTATGGGAGATCACCAGGGGGATGCAAGTCTAGAGAGCAAGGAAGATAGAGTATTGTACAGTACTATATCTAGGAAGTGTCCTAGCGTGGATTGGAGACTTTCTGCATGATCACAAGCAGTGTGTGTTGATTAATGGTATAAAACCATCATATGTACCAGTGACAAGCGGGGTACCACAGGGCAATGAACTGGGCCCATTGCTGTTTGTTTGTTTCAGGAAAGACATACCTGGCGCTATACACTCCTCCATACAAATGTTTGCGGACGATGCCAAGATATTTAGGGAAATTAAAAACCAAACAGACTGCATAGAGCTGCAGAAAGATCTCTGTGAGCTTCAAGTGTCTTCGAAGAAATGGCTGCTAATATTCAATGTCACGAAGTGTGAGAGGATGCACCTGGGTCACACCAATGGTAAGGAGGCGTATCATATATTTCAGCAGGACGAAAAAGCGCCAATAATAGAGACTGAATACAAAAAGGACCTGGATGTGTATGTTGACAATGAACTGAAGTTCTCAGGGCATTGTGAGAAGAATGTGAATCAAGCAACTAAGCTATTAGGTCTTATAAGAAGGTCGTTCAGATATCTAGATGGTCCATCCCTGGTAACGCTCTTCAAGAGTGAGGTGCTTCCCCACATGGAGTACTGTCACCCCGTCTGGTCCCCGAGATATGCTAGGGACTGTCAGTTGGTTGAAAATGTCCAAAGGAGGGCTACTAGACTGGTGCTGGCACCTTAGAATCCAGAGAGATTAAAGGGCCTGCAACTGTCTAGCTTATACTACATACGAGCAAGGGGGAACCTAACTGAGGTGTATAAACATTTGAAAGGGCACTGGTCAGTCATACCTGGAGCTGGCGGATGCCCTCCCCACAAGGGGTCACAGCTCATGGTTGAGGAAGTCATAAGTCCAGAAAACTGTGAGGTCAAACTTTTTCAGAGGTGAGAGTTGTGAACTCTTGAAACAGCCTGCCAGAGAGTGTTGTGATTGCATCAAGTATGAGCTCTTTCAAGACCAGTCTTGACCAACACTGGAGCAGGTTCAGGTACATTCAGGAGTCGGTGTATGCCCAGTACTTGCCAACAGTGCATAAAAGAGATGTGACCGATCGCCCAAGTGGCGAAGAGGATAAAAGTAAAAGTTCAGTTCACATGTACACTTACTCCAAAAAGTATCTGTACAATTTTGTGTGAGACAATGTGACACAACAGACGAATTGATTTTGACAACCCCACCGAGACAACAGGAATCGCACTGTTCATTTTGAAATTCATCAGACCCTCCGTAAAGATACTTTTTGAAGAGAGTACATCTTACAGTTTATACAGTTAAGTTTCCTCTTGCTCTTCCAAAACATGAATTGGGCACCAGTAACCCCACTAGTCTTTCTTGTTAAGTCCCCTGTGTTTGAATTTCACCCTACACTTCTTATTTATGGAACTCTCATCACTTTCAAATCTTTTCATCCACTTATAAATTTAAAAAAAATTTAAATGAGGATATTCACTTACTATGTACAGTACACTTGTACAGTCATGGGAAAAAAAATCCTGTCAGTCCTCAAATCCCTTCCATTAATCATGCGACTCTTGAACCTGTCAATCCAAGACGTCACACGTTGTACCATCTATGAGCCTATCAATGTGTGATGTCTCAGATTCACAAGTTCTTGGATGGGACAGAGGACTGACAGGACTCTTTCCGTGACTACCTCGTATTATACAAGTATATACTGTATTATGAATTCCTGTTTTCCTTATCCAGAGTTTACTCGATGTCAATTAAATATTACCCTTCAGAGAGCAAGCTGTCATATACACCCTAAGACTTGTGTCACAGTCATAATAAATAAGTGAGGTGTTCAATGACAGCACCAACCTGTTAGTCTCTTTATGGATGTTTTCAGTCAGTTTATTTAAAGATCATCTTGGAGGAAGATTGTTTGGATATGTACAGTGTAAGATATCTGTCCACAATTTTCATGGGGTACTGAGAACTTGTGCTAATTATCAACATCAGATCTTTTTCGCAGTGGTTTCAATTAGAGTGATATCTCCATTATGGTGGGACGTAGGGTACACTGTCTTATTATGGCTAAGATGGATCCATTTACATTTTTAAATTCTAGATCATCTATTGTTGTCACCGGGTTTACAACCAATAGACATCACTGTGTAAAATCTTCACAGTTATTTAGATTCTCGTTTTCCCTGCACCAGTTATATCAGCAGTAAACATTTACAGTACTGTGTATGGGTGAGTGAATAGCAATTTTCATGTCATTTAAGAAACAAACAAAAACTACCGGTCTTAACACTTGCATTTCAGTATACTAATTGTCACAAGTACAGTAGATATGAAGACTGTTGTGTTCACCACCACATGTTATCGAGAGTGGGAAGAAGGGTGAAACATCAAGCATGACTTAACTAATTTATTCCTTATAAAACATATTGCTTCCAGTCACAATACAAAAAAGTTGGCCTTCATCAGGAGGGCCACTATTATGCTCATTCCACTTCACATCAAAGTACGTCTTACATACAAGTAACTAGTACTACTCTCATCTTCATTCTTCATAATAATCCATGACCACCTTACCTCGGTCATTCTTTCTTACCATTACATCATAGCACCTCGGTACTCTTAGGTACACATACCATGTACCTCGTTCACACCCTACTCTTGCAGAGTAGATGGGATACTTCCCAGGCAATCATACCAGTACTGGTTCCATGTCTGGTATTCTCAGGTCGCTCCACGTAGCGACTGCGAATCTTCTCTAACATACACTTATTTTCTCCTATCCTGGGTGGTGATATGTAGGGTATCCACAGATTCACAGTGGAGGGGCATAATGGCCGTAAGTAGTTACACCACACATGGCGAGTCCCTCACAGTGTGGTAATGGCCGACGCTCTGAACGCGTGGTACTTGTTTTGATGAGAGACAGTGGTGTTCTGAGTGTAATGCCTGATGGGCTTTTGTCACCACACACTAGTACAACTATTACTTCACTTTATAACATCAGGCAAGGTTTTAAGATTTAAAAACTGCTAGATAAGTCTTTTTAGGGCTGAATGGAGCATGATGGAGTTCACTGACCTGTTTTCATGAGAGACGGTGGTGTTCTGAGGCCGACGCCCCGTGCCTCTCACTGACCGAGGCCTACAGTTTCCAATCTTTAATTTTCACTTTGATTTTATTCAGGTTCTCACATGTACACTTTCCTATTTATTGTGACCTTATGCCTTATAATTATATATCTTAGTCCTAAATTACATACTAAAGAAAGAGTCTGGTTTGCTAGTTCCTGGGGAAATTCATTGGGTGATAACAATACTCGGCAGCACCGTAGTCCTGGGCGGCTTAGGCGCCACGCGAACAAAGCCTAGTGTCGTATTTTCATGGCGTGGGTATACAAGATATTCTCCTTGAAGCATAGTTTTAGGATCCCTTCCAACACTTCACATAGGTCTGATACATTTATCCTTTTCCCCGATCATTGTTCTCATGTATTTTCATCTGATACCTGCGGTAGCTATGTTCACTAATCGTTCACAGACGTAAAGAGTATGACCTTCAAACACGATCTACCCTATTCCCTTGTAGTACACTAGTCCGTATCAATTGGACCTTCCCAGTCATCCTATACTGTAGATACATTGAGTTCTCCTTAATGCTATGAGTAAATACACTTAATATTATATGACCGTACCTTGGTACAATTCGTATAAAACATACTGTAGGTGAGTTATCCTTCACCAACGTTTCCCGTTTTCTGAGACAACAAGCGCGGTGGGTTTGAATGTTATGTAGCGTAATTTGAATAAAAGAGTTGTTAAGGATCACAATGATGTGCGCAGTACAATACAGGGTCAGATTCCTTGGGAAAGTCCATATAAATGTTGTCATTATCAACTCCAACAGTTGTGTCAAACTGGAACAACCAGGAATAAATCTGTGCTGACAGTTTTTAACAAGATCATTACGTTGTGAATAATCCTTTGTGTTACCACTTACACAAACTGTACTAGTACTTTGTATACTGTACTCTATAATCTCATAGGCATATACAGTAGGTATATACGAGTATGCCCTAATAACTGCCCTCTTTATATGCTTGTGTGAAGACAGGTGATATTTTGGTACATTGTAGCATTGTTGATCCATCTGTCTGTTGGTAACTTTTCCATTTCCAGCTCATATCTTCCACCACCATACCATTCAAGGTCACCAGAGTCAGTGTGAAAAAAGGTTCACTGTGACTTGTAGATATACAGTGACCCCTCGTTTAACGAACTCAATCCGTTCCAGAAGGTCGTTCGTTAACCGAAATGTTCGTTAACCGAAACCATTGTTTCAATGGGTTTATGGGTAATTGGTTCCAGCTCACCGACAATTTCCTAAATTCAACAAAAATGGTAGAAAAGTTCACTTACTTTGAGGTGTGTATGTAGAAGGCTCCTGGATGATGATGATGATGATGATGGGAATTAGAATGGGGGTGGAGGAGAAGGAAGAAGAGAAGGCATTGGGGTGGAAGAGAAGTCACCCCATGGCACCATTTCATCCATAAAATTTTAGCTCTCTTGGTGTATTTCAAGATTATTTTCTTTAAATCAACACTGCACTGCATTATATAGTCAATATGTAAAATATATTTCAAAATGACCAATAATTTGCTTGGAAACACAGAAAAAAAGCGTTTAGTTGAAGAGAGTCTCAAGCAAGATGTTACCTCCACTGAAAACAGAGAGAGACTAACTCTGTGGTGTGTTAACAGGCTGGATGGCACGCCAGAAACTAGTTTCTTTACCTTCAATTATGTTCAATAATTGTTAAAATGACTAAAAAAGTTAATATTAAACTTTTAAAATTATTGAATAGTATAAACTTA